GCACAGAAGTCCACATTTTAAAGTCGTTTCTACATAGTTCTCCAGTATAACGTTTCTCGAATCGTCTTAAATCCATGTTAACTAGTGAATTTCTCTCTTCAAACTCAATCCTTCTCCGTTGCCCCCCAGGAGTACTAGAATTGATGAAAACTTCGTTTTTGAACCCTCTCTTATTAGCAGTACCATTCAAAACTTGTCAAAGTACCGTTTCTTCCAAATGAATATTCTACAATCGTCCCAAGATATCGACAATCAATTTTTGTTCTAGACAAAACCTTGTGCTGAAGTCTATATAGTCCTCGACTTCCTGTACATCGTTTCTTTTTTTAAAATTGCTTTCTTTCTCGAATTAGAATTGCATATTTACTGAAGTCCAAATTTGTATGTCTTTTCTAGTTCTCAATACAATTCTTCTGGAATTGTCTGAAACCCATATCAAATAGTAAAATTCTCTCTTGTTACTCAATATTTTGACGCTAGTAGTACCATTCAGAAATTGTCGTGGTACCGTTTCTTCCAATTTAATATTCTACGATCTTCTCAAGACTTCGTCTAATACTTTTCGGGGCGGACAAAATTCCGTGTTGAACTCTATCCTTCTCCTGATTTCAAGTATCAAGACCTCCTTAAACCACGGTAATTAACTTCAAACTGTAAATACCTATAATACTGGACTTTTTCCACATTATTCAAAGTTCCAGAGCACCGTTTCGTTTTCCTCAGTTGTTTCCTTTCTGGAACTAGAATTCGTTATTGCACAGAAGTCCAAATTTTAAAGTCGTTTCTACATAGTTCTCCAGTATAACGTTTCTAGAATCGTCTTAAATCCACATTAACAAGTGAATTTCTCTCTTCAAACTCCATCCTTCTCTGTTGTCCCCCAGGAGTACCAGAATTTATGAAAAGTTTGTTTTTGAACATTCTCTTATTAGCAGTAGCATTCAAAACTTGTCATGGTACCGTTTCTTCCAAATGAATATTCTACAATCTTCCCAAGACTTCGACAATCACTTTTTGTCCTAGTCAAAACCTCGTGCTGAAGTCTGTGTAGTCCTCGGCTTCCTGTACATCGTTTCTTTTTTCTTAAATTGCTTTCTTTCTCGAAATAGAATTCCATATTTACTGAAGTTCAAATTTGCATGTCTTTTCTAGTTCTCAATACAAATCGTCTGGAATTGTCTGAAACCCATATCAAATAGTAAAATTTTCTCTTGTTACTCAATATTTTGACGCTACCCAGAAGTACTAGAATTTATGAAAACTTAGTTTTTGAAACTTCTCTTGCTAGTAGTACCATTCAAAAATTGTCGTGGTACCGTTTCTTCCAATTTAATACTCTACGATCTTCTCAATACTTCGTCTAATACTTTTCGTGGCCGACAAAATTCCGTGCTGAACTCTATCCTTCCCCTGGATTCAAGTATTAAGACCTCCTTGAACCACGGTAATTAACTTCAAACTGTAAATACCTATAGTACTGGACTTTTTCCACATTATTCAGAGTTCCAGAGCACCGATTCTTTTTCCTCAGTTGTTTCCTTTCTGGAACTAGAATTCGTTCTAGAATTCGTTATTGCACAGAAGTCCAAATTTTAAAGTCGTTTCTACATAGTTCTCCAGTATAACATATGTAGAATCGTCTTAAATCCATGTCAACTAGTGAATTTTTCTTTTCCAACTCAATCCTTCTCCGTTGCCCCCCAGGAGTACTAGAATTTATGAAAACTTCGTTTTTGAACCTTCTCTTATTAGCAGTACCATTCAAAACTTGTCATGGTACCGTTTCTTCCAAATGAATATTCTACAATCTTCCCAAGACTTTGACAATAATTTTTTGTTCTAGACAAAACCTCGTGCTGAAGTCTGTGTGGTCCTCGGCTTCCTGTACATCGTTTCTTTTTTCTTAAATTGCTTTCTTTCTTGAATTAGAATTCCATATTTATGAAAGTCCAAATTTCTATGTTGTTTCCAGTTCTCAATACAATTCTTCTGGATTTCTCTGAAACCCATATCATATAGTAAAATTCTCTCTTGTTACTCAATATTTTGACGCTACCCAGAAGTACTAGAATTTATGAAAACTTCGTTTTTGAAACTTCTCTTGCTAGTAGTACCATTCAGAAATTGTCGTGGTACCGTTTCTTTCAATTTAATATTCTACTATCTTCTCAAGACTTCGTCTAATACTTTTCGTGGCTGACAAAATTTCGTGCTGAACTCTATCCTTCTCCTGATTTCAGGTATTAAGACCTCCTTGAACCACGGTAATTAACTTTAAACTGTAAATACCCATGGTACTGGACTTTTTCCACATTATTCAAAGTTCCAGAGCACCGTTTCTTTTTCCTTAGTTGTTTCCTTTCTGGAACTAGAATTCGTTCTAGAATTCGTTACTGCACAGAAGTCCAAATTTTAAAGTCGTTTCTACATAGTTCTCCAGTATAACGTTTCTAGTATCGTCTTAAATCCATGTTAACTAGTGAATTTCTCTCTTCAAACTCAATCCTTCTCCGTTGCTCTCCAGGAGTGCTAGAATTTATGAAAACTTCGCTTTTGTCCCTCTCTTATTAGCAGTACCATTCAAAACTTGTCATGGTATCGTTTCTTCCAAATGAATATTCTCCAATCTTCCCAAGACTTCGACAATTACTTTTTGTCCTAAACGAAACCTCGTGCTGTGTGACTTCTTGTACATCGTTTCTTTTTTCTTAAATTGTTTTCTTTCTCGAATTAGAATTCCATATTTACTGAAGTCCAAATTTCTATGTTGTTTCTAGTTCTCATTGTATTGTTTCTAGAATTGTCTGAAAACCATATCAACTAGTAAAGTTCTTTCTTCATATTCAATTTTTCGTTGGTGCCCAGAAGTACTAGAATTTACGAGAACTCCGTTTTTGGACCCTCTCTTAGTAGTAGTACCATTCAAAACTTGTCATGGTACTGCTTCTTCCAATTTAATATTGTACAATCTTCTCAAGACTTCGTCAATTAATTTTCGTCATTCACTAAAGTACATATTTCTGATTTCGAATATTAAAACCTCCTCGAACCACAGTAATTGACTTCAGACCTTGAATATAATACTCGACTTCCTCCACATTTTTCAAAATGACCAAGGTACCGTCTTTTCTTCCTCCTTTTTTGCATACTTCTCCAGTACAATGCTTCTGGAATTGTCTTAATCCATGTTAACTAATTAACTTCTTTCTTCAATCTTAGTCCTTCTTCGGTACCCAGAAGTTTTAGAATATATGGAAACTTTTAATTTTTGCACCAGCTCTTCTTACCAGATATCTTGTGGATCATTCAGACTCCATGGTACCACTTTTTCCAAAGGAATATTCTACAATATTCTCAAGCCGTCGTCAGTTATTTTTTTCACGAATGAAGTCCTATGCTGAAGTCCAAACTTTTGTACTCCTTGTGATTCCAAGCCGTATGCTTGTAGAACTTTCTCATTTGCTTTTTTTTGGAATTAAAATTCCTTTTTGAAGTCCAAATTCCTCTGTTTTCTGTATTCTGTCTTTTACAGTGTTATTGAATTCTTAACTCTTTAACTATGATTTTTTTCCTTCAAGGTCCATCCTGTATTGAATTGGAAATTCCTAAATTTTCTAGACTGCCAAAAGTTCTAAAATTTATAAAAACTTCCACTACTCGATTCGTTTTTGCTGATGGATCTTCTGTACTGTTCAAACTTGCTATTTTCTCTACTTTGTCTAAATCCATGAGGGCGACTCCTTTTTACGGAATATTCTACAATCTTCACAAAACTTCCTCATCTACTTTTTTTTCTAGAATTAAAATCCTGTTCAGAAGTTGAAACGTCTTCTTTCCTCTCAAGTACAATACTTCTAGAGTATTTTAAAACCCGCATTAACTATTTAACCAATAAAACCGATCGTGTAATGAAAAAGAAATTTTTGAATTTTTTCTAGAATCTGGGAAATTCCATTTTCAACCCTTTATTTTAGTAGACATCTTCTATAACCTTATCAGAGTACTGTGATTTTCCCAGTGGAATATTTTAGAATCTTTTAGAGACTTCGTCAAGCACTTTCTTGTTCGAACGAACATCCCCCACTGAAGTCCAAATTTCTGTCTCTTTTTGTTTATTATATACAATCTCACACAATTCTTATCTCTTCTTATTTCAAGTAGAATGTTTCTAGAACTATCTCATATCCTATGTTCAATCTCAATTTTCCCCTAAAATCGCAAATTCTCAATCCTTTTCGATACTCGACAGTTCTAGAATTTGTGGAAACTGTTCCCTTTTGACAATCCCTTATTGGTAGAAATCGTTTTTGTCATCCGTATGATACTATATTTTGTGTATTTATATAGTTTATAGAATATTTATAATCCTTTCCGAGACTTGCTCTCGTTCTCAAACCGAAGTCCAAATTTCTGTGTCTTGTTTTGGGATAAAATGTTCCTAGAATCATCTCGAGTTCACTCGTACTAACTTTCCTAATTCCGTTTTTAAACACAAGGGAAATGCAATGAAAATTTCTTGGTAGAAAATTTTAGGTTAGAATTTTGTTACACGTTTTGCTTACGTATTTAAATAGTTTGACGATATTTTCAATGATTTTTTGTGGAAGTACTGGGTGATTATTAATGATTGAAGCAAATTTTTGTGTTGGCAGTTGTGAATGATTGGTATCCTTGCTAGTACGTCAATTCACAGTTGTCAGATTTGACATGCGCACGCCTAGCAAACGTGTTGATTGGTTGAGACGATGCCAGCTGTCATAAATGTCACTTTGACAGTCAGGTATGCCATCATAAAATTTTAAGTAGGTTGCCAACCTCACAAAAAATTTCAAACATTAATAGTCATCGCTATTTCGTCACCCTAATCCTCGGAGACCTTGTTCATGTTTTATATAAATTATGAATATAATAAATGACAGTCCTTGGCCCAATTCTGTCTCCACTGTCTTAATTTTCCGTCCCAACTTGCGCCGTTTCTAAAATGTGTTTAAACACTGCAGAACGAAGCGAGGAAGAACGCAGAGAAATCCGACCCGGATTCGCTGAGTAAAGTTAACGAGCTTGAATCAACCAAGGAACAATTACTGAGGGAACATGAAGCAATTAAAAAAAGATTTGATCAATTATTGACACGCGAGAGAAGCGCGAGGGAAGAAATCCGAGAACTAAAAGGGAAACTTTTGAAAAAGTCCGTAGCCCTTAATTAGCCTTCCCTGTCTCTAATTTTTTAATATTACAGACCGATCCTGTCGGCACGCAGCGAGAAAAGCGAGCGATCCATCAAAGAGCAGCTCCAAAAGAAAATCAATTCGCTGGAAGCCGAAGTCGCCGAACTGAAAGAGAATCTGTCCCGACAGATATCCATCAACGAGTCGCACCGAGTGAAAATTTCGCAAGACTTCGAGAGGTGGAACAAACAGAAACACTACCAACAGCTCTCCGAGAAGCTGAAAGCCAAACTGAAGGCGAAAGAGGGCGATTTTGAGAAACTTCAGGAAACTTGTGCCGGGTACAGGTCGCTGATTGAGCGTTTAGAGAGGGAAAAGTACAATTTGGAGATTAAAATACGCAATTTGAAAAGTGGCACGACCCAGCAGAGCTCGGCAGAAATTGAAATGCTGAAGTTGGGAAATATGAAGTTGATGTTGGAGAACGAAACTTTGACGTCGAAACTTGAAATGCAGCAGCACCATTCGGGGGGTTTGGGGGCCGCCATGTTGCAGGAGAAGTTGGAGGCGCAGGAGAGGAAAATCGCCATTTTGGAGTTGTCGAATAAGGTAAGTGAAACGAGGTGTAAATTTATCAAAATAGTTTTATTTTAACGGTATTAAGTCCAACCAAATTCCTCCAATGGGGGCGAGAATTATTCCTGATGTTTCCATTTTCATTGGTAGGAGCGTTTTTGTGCTGAGAGGTATGTCGAAGTGGCGCAGAATCAGTGACAGGGCTATTTTGATTTGAATCATGGCGAAGCGCATTCCTGAAAAAAAAAAACAGTCGTAAAAATTATACACCTGTTTGGATTTTTTTACGTCTCGAGCGTAAGCTAAGGAAGTATTGTTATTGAGACCATCGGTCGACTGGCTACTTTTATGTTTCCTCGAGGTTTTATGACCCCTAAAGTACAAAAAACTAGGTCCCTGCTTCTGTCTGTATGCCTGTTTGTCTGTCTGCCGTCTGTCCGGATTTTTATTAGATAATCTCCGAAACTAATGGATGGGTTGTTGTCAAATTTTATATGTGTACATATTTGGATTATTCTATAGATGGTAAAGCGCTAACCAAATTGATGACGTCATATCCAAAATTTACATTAGTAAATGCAACCTAATTTTTTTTTAAATAAAAATACTCCTTAATTTGTGGTTTATGAATCCGCTTTGAGTTTTTACCCTAGATATTCAGATTTTTGGAAAAAAAAAATTAAAGTTTTATAACATTTTCCAATTTGAAATCTTGCAAAGGTTTTAACGTTATCGTAAAGATGATAAATCTTATCAAAAATTCGTTCACGTCAGTTCAATCCGTATGGAATTTTTATTCTAAACATTGAGATTTTTGGAAAAATATCAAAATTGTACAACTTCTCGTTATCTCAAATTTCTAATTTTCAATTTTTGGCCTTTTCGATGTTTCAATTTGCTTCTTTTTCGATTTATCAGCTTTTCAGTTCTAATTTTTCAAATTTTTGATTTTTTGAATTTTCAGTTTTTCGAAATCTCGCTTTTCAAACTTTTTACTTTTCGATTTCCGATTTTTAAATTTTCGAATTTTAGGTTATCGGGTTTCTCAGATTTTCGTTTTTTCGAATTTTCAATTTCTCGCTATTTGAGGTTTCAATATGTTGCTTCTTCGATTTTTCAATTTTTCAATTCTTTGATTTTTCTAAATTCTGATTTTTCAAATTTTTGATTTTTTGAATTTTCAGTTATTCAGTTTTTTCATTTTCCCGAATTTTCAATTTTGGATATTCGAATTTTCGATCTGTCTAATTTTCGATTTTTCAATTTTCTATTTTCAAACTTTTAAATTTCTCAAATTTTCAATTTCATTCTTGTTTTTCGATTTTACAATTTTTGATTTTTCAATTTTCGATTTTTTTATTTTCCGGGAGATTTTTCTATATTATCGATTTTCAAACATTCAGTTTGTTTCTTTTTGGATTTTTCAAATTTTCATTTCTCATTTTTCAAATTTTTGATTTTACGAATTTTCGATTTTTCGGTGTTTTAGTTTTTACAATCTCCAATTTTTCGATTTATCAATTATTTTACTTTTGATTTTTTGATTGCTCGAATTTTTGATTTTCGATACTCGAATTTTTAGTATTTCTAGTTTTCGATTTTAGATTTATAGTTTTTATAATTTTTTTACTTTTTTCTCGAATTTTCAATTCCATTCTTCAGTTTTTCGATTTTTCAATTTTTCAATTTTCGATTTTTTAACTTTCCGGGAGATTTTGCTATATTTTCGATTTTCGAACTTTCAGTTTGTTTCTTTTTGGATTTTTCAATTTTTCAATTCCCTGATTTTTAAAATTTTTGATTTTTTGAATTTTCGATTTTTCGGTTTTTCAATTTTTAGCTCGAATTTTCGAAATTTTAGTTTTCGATTTTTCGATTTTTGATTTATAGAATTTACAATTTTTTTACTTTTTATTTTCTCGAATTTGCAATTCCATTTTTCAGTTTTTGATTTTTCAAATTTAGATTTTTTAACTTTCCGGGAGATTTTTTCATATTCTCGATTTTCGAACTTTCAGTGTGTTTCTTTTTCGATGATTCAATATATTTTTTTTTTCAAAATTTTGATTTTTTGAATATTCGATTTTAGATTTTTAAATTTTTGCATTCTCCAATTTTACTTTCGATTTTTTTATTTCTCGAATTTTTAATTTTGGAAACTCGAATTTTGTATTTTTCTAGTTTTCGATTTTTGATTTTTAGACTTTACAATTTTTTTACTTTTTGATTTCTAAAGTTTTCAATTCCATTCTTCAGTTTTTTGATTTTTCAATTTTCGAATTTTTGGTTTTCCAGTTTCTCAGATTTTCGTTTTTTCGAATATTTGAAGTTTCAATTGGCTTCTTTTTCAATTCTATGATTTTTTAATATTTTTTTGATTTTTTGAATTTTCAATACTTTTTTTCAATTTTTCTTTTTTTCAATTTTTTCATTCTTCAATTTTGCGATTTTTCAATTACTATTTTGCTTTTCGATTTTTTGATTTCTCGAATTATCGATTTTCGATATTCGAATTTTCAATCTTTCTAATTTTCGATTTTTAGAATTTTCAATTTTTCAATTTTCAATTTTTTAACATTCCCCGAGATTTTTCTATATTTTCGATTTTCGAAGTTTCCATTTTTCGATATTCCGATTTTTCGATTTTCTGTTTTCCATTTTATTATTTTTAAGGGAAACGAAAATCGCAGAATGAAATTTTAAATTTTTTTAAAGGAGCGGGATTTATTGGACTTTACTTCAAGAGCAAGAAAAGTTCTGTCGAAGTAACTTTCTACCAATTTTTTTTACTCTGTAATTTCCACAATAATTACAATGAATTTTTAAGTTTATGCTATTATTATTGTTAATCGAAAAATTTGTGTCTTTATTTTCCCCATAAAATTGATGACGTCATCTCAAATAATATTTCGTAGGTCTCGTACATAGTATAATTTTTCGAAATTTTGGATTTCGGAATTTTAACAAGAAAGAAATTTTTTTGGTAGTCCCAATAAATTTAATTAATAATTTAGAACACGAATTAACTTCTGATGTTGAATTCTCCGTGAATTGATCACCATTTTAATTTTTTTTACGATCACAATTTTTTCTCCATACAGATTTCGACAGTACAGGCAATAAAAATACGAAGTGATTTTAATTTTTTGCGATTTTTCTGTAGGCGTTTTATTGGTAATTTGTAACCAATTAGTTTTCAAGCTCAGTATTGTTTTAGTGGAGTGAAACTTTTTTCTGGATATTTTCAAGCTTAAGGAGAGTTGTATCAGACAAACTGAAAGCAATCAATTTTATGAAGACAAAAATAAACCATTGATTTTTACAAATAATTGTGAGTTTTTCCATTTATATATCGCTGCCCACGAATATTGCGGACAATTAGTAGTTAAATTGTGAAATATGGATACAACTTTAATAATACGCTTTGCACGGATTTGTCGGATATTCGTATTTTCAAAATTAGCTAAGCAAAAACAAGAAAGATTATTAAGTGTAGGTGTAAGAAGAAAACAACTTTATTTAGCTAAATGTGTCGCAGACTAAAATTAAGCATGCGACAATTTAATCTTTCTTAAGTACTGTGACATTCACATAAATTTCAATCCATATTGAGTAAACATTTCGGCTCTTCCCACACAAGAAATGATTTGCTTTACGGTTCGCTCGTTCACAAGATTGCCGTAACGAAATCATATTATAAACCATTAATTTTCCAATTATTTTAAATACAGCTTATCTCTTAATTTGACGAAAATGTACCTCAACCACTAATCGCTTTAAATTTGCCGCTGCGGCCTAATAAGCATCAGTAGTTCGTTTGGTTAACCTAAGTCAAGCAATTATTCTGGAAAAATTTGGTATTAGCAGTGTGTTAGTAACTATTAATTACTAATGATTATCAGAGAACATAAATTTTGCCTCTAGTGTGTTGAAATCTGTTTACCGTAAATATCGATGCTAAATCTAAACCCAACAACTTCCCACTTAATTCGATTTGCATTTGGGCGTAAATATGAATAAAGCTTCTAAACTGAATTAGTGAGGGTTTTTTAGTGTAGGTTTTAGCTCTTATGTACATTAAAATTAAAGGAAGATTAAATACTACAACTTTATGTTGAGATTATTTTATTTCTTGTGTTCGTTTTTTAGGTTCATATTTTTTTTTTTCGGGAAGGTAGGTCGCCATCTGTGCGATTATTCATTGACATCTGTCACATCGTTATAACCTCACTTTTTTGACATAGCGTACGATGTACAGTTGTATTCAATAAAAATGGGAAGTAAATTTTTTCGCAATGTCAACTGATTTTTTTTAAGACATATTTAAAGCAAAGAATGGACGGTAAAAATGTTTTTCGAAAAATCGAAACATATAAATATTTAAAAATTAAAATTTCTGGAAAATCTAGAAACTGAAATGTTCCCAAAATTGAAATATTGAAAAACTGAGAAAAGGAAAACTTAAAAAATCGGAAATTCTAAAAATCAAAAAGTTGAAAAATTGTTTAAATCGAATAACTGAGATGTCAAAAAATCATAAAAGCGCAAGACTGAAAAATCAAAAAATGTAAAATTAAAAAAAATCGAGAAATAACATCCAAAAACTGAAAAATCAAAAACCGAGCAAAACTGAAGGACCGAAAAACTAAAAAGCTGGGAAATTGAAAAATTCCAAAACTGAAATAACAAAAAATTGAAAAATCGAGAAATGGAAAAGTCGAGAAGTCGGAATAGGCCAGAAACGAAAAATTGAAAACATGAGAAATTGGAAAATCGAGAACTGAAGAATAAAAAAATCGAAATGTCTAAATCTCGAAAAATCAAAAAACTGAAAAAATGAATAATTGAAAAACCGGAAAATTGAAAAATCGAAAGAACAAAAATTTTAAAAATTGAAAAATACTTAGTAAAGCTGACTAGCCGACAAATCGAGAAATCAAGAAATCGAAAAATGAGAAATTTTAAAAATTTGAAAAATTAAAATATCCAAAAACTGAAGAAATGAAAAATCGAAACTCGAAAAATCGAAACATCGAACAATCGAAACATCAAGATATCGAAAAATTAAAATTTCCAAAAGTTGGAAAATCTAGAAATTAAAAAAATGTGGAAAAATTGAGACATTGAAAGCTTGAAAAATTCAGAAATCTAAAATTTAAAAGTCGATTTTTTTTAAATCGAATAAACGAGATGTCAAAATATAGTAAAATCCAAAAACTGAAAGTAACAAATCCAA